GTTTGTCACAGCCCCTCGTTTGTTGTCCTCTTCTCTCTCTCTGCCTACGGTTTACCGGGCAGTTCTGTTTGTGAGGATATATATATATATATATATATATATATATATATATATATCGTCACAAACAGAACTGTCACAAACAGAACTGTCACAAACAGAACTGCCCGGTAAACCGTAGGCAGAGAGAGAGAAGAGGACAACAAACGAGGGTATATATATATCTGTATATATTTTACATACTCACGAGACTCCCATCCTACAACTCCTCTCGATATATCTCCTGGCGCGCCCCCACTCCATTTCTATCTTACCTCGTGCGAGGAACATCACTCTCTACTGGAGCAACCTGACCAGACAGTGGACGTGGGCACTGACGCTGAATGAGCTTCCCCATTCAGCCCCAGTTGAGGCACTAGCATACAAGCCTGGTTATACGCGAACCTCGGGAGCCAGGCCCATACTTCTCAACTAGTCCCGTGAGTAGCGAGGGCACTCATAGGCAGTGTCTAATGGTCAGCTAACCAACGTCTAACCTATGAGCCCTCTACGCACTATCCTGCCACAGCTCGGATCGTTTATGGCTAATGTTGGTTGATGAGTATGCTGGTTTTTATGCGAGCTAGTGTGATATCATAGTCTGTATGGATGTCTGTGGTTGCTTTCTGCTACTAATGATTTGTGCTGAGCGGGTATGCTTATGTCTGTTCACCAGGGAGAGTCAACCAATCATAATGATGGAGACCTCGACCGTCGTCAACTACTAACCCCAACAACCTCTGAAAACCCACCACCCCAGAATGGGTCTATAATAGACATGGAGAGTAGGACACACCTCTTGCTTGATTCGATGTTAGTTTCCCTACGAGGCAACCCTGCCCACCATAGGACTGCCTCGGTATCACCAGATTCACCGTGCACCCAACCAACCCTTTACTACGCACCTGCGCGAGAGAGTAGCATCCATCCCACATCAACTTTCCCGCAGGAAAGGCACACGTCTCCACCCGACTCTGTACAGAGGACCATCCCTAGCTGATAGCATGAATGCGCATAGTATGGAGTTGAACTCGGGACCTCCAAGTTACAATATCAGAGATCTACCCACTGAGCTATTGAGGTCGTTAGTCTGTAAAGGCGCGATGCCAGGCTCGGGACAAGTACATGGGGTGCAACCTACACCAACCAATTGTGCTCAGGGGAAGGGAAATTGCAGGCCAACAAAGTCGAACTTGCAACCTCCCTAACCTCCCTAACCTCCCTATTGCAACATCGGAGCTCTTCCCACTGAGCTACCATGTACTTGCTTACCAACCGACCGTGTCGAAGTTAAGACGCCAAGCATGCCGCAGGCACTATCGTGGGGACGATGGGAGTTGAACCCACGACCTCCTGAGTGCCGCCGCTTGAACGCCTTACCAATAGAGCTACACCCGGTTGGCTTTTTCCTTCCTCCTATTTTTTTGGGGGGGGAGAAGACAAATTCACGTTCAATAAATGCTGGGGGTCTTCTGAGGGGGTTTACCAAAGAAGAAAGAAAAAAAAAGAGGGTCTTGAGTCTTGACCTAACGTGGTTAACCGCAAGGTGGAATTCCTCGTGAGTTTGATGATAGGTGCCTGCGACCGCTGTCTGGTCAGGTCACCCCAGAAGGATGGTGATGGGTGATGGTCCTGGGTGGTTAACACTGGAGTAGGACAGTGGGGGGGGCAGGGGTGTGCCAGGGAAATTGACAAGAGGAAGGGTGGGTGGGGTCTTTCAGGGGGTGCAAAGAAAAGGAAAAACAAGAGGAATGTTATTGCTATAGTTCGTCTCAGAGCGACATACATGTCTAGAAATTTGTAATTAGTGGACGGAAGACCCCCCGCCGAAAAAGAAGAAAAAAGAAAAAAAAAAGAAAAAAAAGAAAAGAAAAAAGAAAGACGAAAAAGGAATGCCATCACTATTTGCTATAGCCTGGCTATCTCTCTTTTCCCCATAGGCTATCTGGTATTGGCTAATGGCTGTCAGTTTTGACCTGTTGGCTGAGCCGATGAGCTCTGGCCTCCCTGGCTTATGTTGACATCACCATTATTTATCCCCCCTTCCCTCCCCTGTGAGTTATAAACTTCACTTGCTGCAAGGCACATGAACGAGGCTCTACATTTTGTAATTTATTTTTTTTTTGCCATTTTTGGACCATTTTTTCTCGATTTATGTGTGTCATCCTTGCGCAGGGGCCATGCTTATCTTCTTTCTCTGTATCGTTCCAATTTTCATGGATATCCCGGGGGACGCTCTGAAGTTTTTTCGGAATGCCCCTCCAGGTCCTCCTTAAACCACCACCATCTACATATCCAGGCCTCTTCTTGCCGAGATGCATTCCCCCTGCTTCCAAAGCGTTCTGCTGAAATGCATATCCCACCATTACGCGTTCTCTTTTCTTTTGGCTGGCGTCGCCATCCACTTTGGTCGTGCGGCCCTGAGCCTCCGAACTTCCAATTTTTTTTTATTTTTTTATTTTTTTTTTTTTTTGCCTCCGAACTTTCTGGCTTGACTCTTCCATACTTTTTGGAATCACTCCTTTTCGATTCTCAAGTTTGCCTCGGTGATGTAAACCACCACTACCCCTCCCAAGTCCTTTTCAAATGACCCGTTTAAGCACCCTATTTCACCGTGACGTAGAATATTGTACTAGTATGAATCGCAACTGCCTGCAGGCGGGAAAAAAAAAAAGAAAAAAAAAAAAGAAAGAAAGAAGAATCAGATGAGGTAGGGCATAGATTGAAAGTGCGACCTCTGGCATGTACGGCTGCAAGTTTCCGTAAAAGGGTCAGGGGCTATTGGCCATGTAAGGGGTCCTCTCGACGACTCTGTCTTTATCCGGCTTTTCTCTCAGACCGCACTCACACTACCACGTATTTTTGCAAAATCGCAAATTTTATGTAGTTTTTCGGGTCACAAGAGGCACGTATTTTGCGTGTTCACACAAAAGGGCACGTAAATGTCAGTGGCCTGGACAGCCGCGGGCTTACATAGTTTGTGGGGACCTCCAGAGGTCCCCGCAAAATCACGTTCATTTTTCCTCTACTGCTTTCTATAAGGGAAAAAAAAAAAAAAAAAAAAAAGTGCATTGTGCTGTCTGACTGCAGACAACGTATTTTCGCATCTCAAGGTGCCATATCTTTGAGAGGTCGCGACCCTGTCCTGTCTTTTCTGCTTTGGGCAACAAACGGGTGACCAGTGTGACCCACAGGGTGCCATATAA